AGCGGCCGGCGTGGTAGTGGCCGTTGCGTTGCCAAACTGCAATGGTGTTTTGGGCGTCCAGGTCTTGTCTCCAGGACCTTGAGCCTTCTCGACTGTGGCAGCAGTAGCTGGCTTGGGGGTCGCAGGCGCGATCGAAAAGGACGGTACACTCTTCGCCGCCTCTTCAGCCTGACGACGCTTCTCTTCTTGCTTTGCCGCGTCTCTCTTCGCCCACTGCTCTTCGGTCTCTTCATCGCTGTCGTAATCAGCATCCTTGCGCTTCTGGCGTTCGATCTCTTCTTGCTTCTTGGCCAACGCGCCGAAAGAGGACAAGAAGCTGCCACCAGGGGCGGCGGTGGATAGGGTGGGCTTGAAACCTCCAGCACTGGGTGTTGCCGCATTGCCTAGAGATGGCTTGAAGCCACCGGATGCCGGCGTGGCCTCTGCATTCGAGGTAGATGCCGAGAAAAGTGACTTAGTAGAGGGTGTAAAGCCGGTCGAGGCTGTAGGCTCTGCAGATTTGGCCATGGCTTGCCTGTCAAGCGTTGATGCGAACAGCTTGGCTGTGTTGCTAGCGTTCTCGGGGAGCTTGGGGTACGAGGCTGGCTCACCGTTAGGCTTGCTACGCTTCTCTGTAGCTGGCTCTCGAGACGGATGGTTGACATCTTCTTCGAAGGATCGCTTCTTCGAAGGTGCGGTAGCAGGTGCGGTGGCAGGTGCTTTACTGGACAATGAGGTACTCGAGCCGGCATTTGGTGTTTGCACAGGCTGAGCAGTACTAGCAAATGCCGAAGCTGTGGTCGCAGATGACGACGAGTCATTGGATGGTGCTGCTGGAGCCGGGATTCCTTTGCACAAGGTCTGGTAGGACGATTTCTGTGCACCAGGCGCAGTGCTAAGCTCACTTTCAGAAGGTGCGGGTCGACCAAGGATCAGTGCCGCTGTCTTCGATGCATAAAGAAATGTCGCACTCCAGTCCGAGTCGGCTTGCTGATTGTGTAGGTGTGCAAGGAGGCCCTCATTCAGTGCCTTCATCATTTTTCTCTGCGAATCGTTCAGGTCTGTCGAGGATGTAGCCACGGGCAAGCTCGCTGCTGTGCTGCTTGCAATCGCCGGAAAGGCTTGCGGCACAGGGGTAGTTACTGAAGGAGCCTTGAATGATACTGCTGGTGCGGCAGGTGCCACGGCTGGGGTTGATGGGGTCGTGGACGCAGTTTGTGCGAAAATGTTCGTTGGCGCTGGCGCTCTGGGGGTTTCGTCGTCTGCTTGCGCTGGGGATGGCTGCGAGAACTGAGATGGCCTAGGAGTAGCGGACATGCCAGATGAGAAAAGTGGTTTGGCAGTAGAAGATGCCACTGGCGTGTTCGTGGATAATGGCGCCTTTGGCGTCTCTGCAGTCTGCGGCTCGTTGATGCGATCAAACAGCGATCGAGGTGGTTGTGCTGCTGGCGTGCTCGAGACTGTCGCAGTGCCGGCGGAAGAGCCAATAGAGGAGGGTGCTGCATCGGGTGCGTTCGTGCTTTTATTCTGTTCACTGGCAGAGTTTGCAAAGAGATTCACCTGAGGCTTCGGAGCTGCGCTGTTGGCGAAGATGTTGGCTGCTGGCTTAGTCATGGTTTGGAAGCCTCCAAAGTCGGCAGGGGGGAATGCATTTGTTGGCTGCTTCTCGCTAGCCTTTTCTGCGGCGGCACTTGACGTTTCGGGTTCGTCGTCTTCACCATTGTAAACTTGCTTGGGGTCGGCGGAGGAAAAGTTGAAATTGCTGGCGCCAGAGGGTTTCTTTGGCAAATGATCGAAAATGCTGCCACCATTATTGGTAGGCTCATTCGGTGCGATCTTGGAGCCGAAGAGTCCGCTGACTGGTGCGCTGGCACTCGTCGACCCGAACAGCCCTTGGGAAGGCGCGGCAGATTGTGCTGGCGGTGGCTGACCAAACATGCTTGAGCTGGCCTTGGTTGTCTGCACTTGCGGCTGCGAAGGCGCGGCAGATTGTGCTGGCGGTGGCTGACCAAACATGCTTGAGCTGGCCTTGGGTGTCTGCACTTGCGGCTGCGAAGGCGCGGCAGAGTGTGCTGGCGGTGGCTGACCAAACATGCTTGAGCTGGCCTTGGGTGTCTGCACTTGCGGCTGCGAAGGCGCGGCAGATTGTGCTGGCGGTGGCTGACCAAACATGCTTGAGCTGGCCTTGGGTGTCTGCACTTGCGGCTGCGAAGCTGGAAACAGTGACTTGCTGCTATTCTCGGCTTGCATCTGAGCAGAGCCATCATTGGGACGGGCAAAAGGCTTGAATCCGCTTTCGTTCTCAGGTGCTTTGGACTGTGCTTTGGACTGTCCGAAGCCTGAGAATACGCTACTGCCTTTGTTTCCAGTCTCTTGTGGCTTTGGCCCAAACAGACTCTTGGGGGCTTGTTCTGGCGCCTTTGTCGCGAATGTATTGCCAAACCCTGGTGTAGAGGCTCTACTGGAGTCTTGGGCCTGTTGCCCAAAGATCGAACCATTCGATTTATTCTCTTGCGTCTTTTGACCAAAGCCAGGGAAGCCATTGCCGCCCATCCCGGTGTCCATGCCGGTCTGGTTGACTGGTTGTGACGAGTTGCCGAAGCCGGCGAAGCTGGCGCTAAGGGTGGTCATGCCGTTCTGTTGTGAAGGCTGGCTCTGAGTCTGTCCGAAGGAAAAACTAGGCGTCTTGCTCTGCTGTGAGGGTTGGTTGAACAGGGAGTTCGGGGCGCCGAAACCATTCTGCTGTGGCTGGTTTGCTGTAGTCATGAAGCCGCCAAAGGCAGGCGCGGACGACTGCGAAAAGATGGGGTTCATGCCGCTCTGCTGAGGCGCTGGCGCGGACTGGCCGAACGTGAAGCTGCTGCCGCTCGCCTGTTGCGGCTGTTGTGCGGTGAAGTTGAAGCCTTGCGCAAATGGGTTTGCGGCGAAGCCGCTCTGCGGCTGCACAGCGGGGCTATCACTTCGGCCGCGATCCGTGCGTGCCTTAGGCTTTAAAAGCCTATTGTCAACATTAGTTTCGGTTGTGTCCATCCGGTCCTGGTCGTCTATGTCCATGTAGTCGTCCATCTCGACGATGTTGTCGACGACCTGATTGCCCCTGGCAGCCTCCCCAGCAGCCTCCTGGTTGTCGATGCCCATGTCGTGGTCGGCATTGGCGGCCTGGTTGCCATTTCTGGCTGGAGCGACTGGAGCAACTGGAGCGAAAAGAGCTCGTGCGGCTGCGGCGCGTCGTGCGGCGGCGCCGCGTGATGAGGCGGCGGCGCGTGCTGAGGCCATGGCGGTTGGGGTGGCGAGGGCGAGTGATGCGGCGGCACCGCGTGATGCGGCGGCGGCGAATGGTGCGGCGGCGGCGAGTGGTGCGGCGGCGGCGGGTGGTGCGGCGGCGGCGGGTGGTGCGGCGGCGGCGGGTGGTGTGGCGACGGCGGGTGGTGCGGCGGCGACAAGTGGTGCGGCGCCGGGTGCTGGCGTGAAAGCCATGGCGAGCGCCCTGTTGGCATTTGCTGGTGGTGGCACCGGTGCCATGGTGGGTGGGTGGGTGGGTGGTGGCGTCAGTGGTGGTGTCGGTGGTGTTGTCGGTGGTGGTGTGGTGGTCTTGCTGGTGGTGGTGATAGCGGTGGTGGTGTCGGTGTGGAGAGTTACGAATTGATATCGTGGAGAGAGAAGAAAGTGTTTATATCCTCCCATCATCACAATAGCATGCGAGAATTGCTATTGTCATGATTGACAGATCCACTCCCAGCCCCCTCCGCCATTGTCGTAGGCCATGACTCCAAAGATCCCCGAAAGGTACCCAAGCCGTACAATAGATGACCACAGTTGCCAACAATAAGAAGCATGAAGCCGGAGAACAACAATAGGGTCTTGCCATTTTCGTTCATTGTGGTATGCCGAATCGCCAGTGGATTGCCATAAACCAAGCTCATTCAGATGCAATAAAGTGACCAATGCTATTATGGCTGAACATGACATGAATGGGTAGCATTGCTGCCAGGCTTGTCCATTTTCGTGTGCCGGGTCACCAAAAGCTCGAAAAGCACCAAGCCATTCCGGGTACATCCAGGCCGCCGAAAATCCGGAATATGCAACCAGGCCGCCGACAATAGGGACAATCACAGTGTAGAACAATAGGGAGTGTGTGTGTACTTACTTTCTTCTCGCCAACTGTGCCGCAGTGGCCTGAACAGGCTTGTCATTGCCATCCATGTCTACTGGAGGTGCTCCTCCGTATCGTTCGTCGCCGCCCCAATCGCCGGCGTTTCGCTTGTTCATATTATGCGCGCGTCCGCAGCGCGACTCCGCGAGGATGCGTCCTGCGTAATGCAGGCTGATGAAGTGGTGGTGGATTCGATGCGGTTATGCGCGAATGTTCGAAGAAGGCGTCGCCGAGTCGTGTTCGCAGTGATGTTGCAGCAGGAAGACGCGCTCGCGGTGTGGTTGTTGTGTCAAGGAGAGTCTGCCATGCGCGAAGTTGGCTCTTTACGCGCTTCGTGGACGTGTCGTGTGGGGAGGGAATTTCTCGAGCCGTTGCATTCACTGGCATCAGAGAAGGTGAAGTTGGGAGAAGTCGCCGAAGGTAAAACTAATAAACGAAGCGGGCGCTCCCGCCGAACCTCTCTCCCGATGGACCCGATCTGTTCGCGACGGCTAAGAACAACCACACGCGCGGTTCTCCTGAGAAGGAATACTTTTCACGTTCCTCTGTCTCCGACGAGTATTTAGATGCTGATAACGCGACGTGACGGGCAGCTTGAGCTTTGGCTGTCGCATGAAGGTCGCGTGCGATCGGCACTTGACGTGTCCGCTTGTGAAACACAACAATGAGCGCCCACGGCCGGCATGCAAAGTGAAGTTGAGCAAGATCTAGCAATATTGCGGTAAGGTGAGAACAGGACGATAGCTGGGTTACCCAGAGCTCACAAGTTACCTGGTATCATCAAGAGCGCAATAGGCACACGGGAATATGAATTCAGCCAGATTCAGCCACATTGACTGCCATTCTGGCATCAACTTTTCCTCCCTAGACTACCCAATGCACATCGTGTGGTGTCCTGAAGAAACTTCTCTGCCCGCTATATCATACCCATGTCCAAAATGCAGTCCAGTCCTTCCGTCTAGAGCTTAGCCTTCGTCTGAGCCTTCTTGAGGATAGGCTCCATCTTTGTAGCCTTCATCACAGCTCCCTTAACCTTGAGTTTACCACTCATGAACAGCTTCTGTGCGTTGGCCTTGCCAGATACAAGCTTGGCAAAGTTCTCATCGGAGAGGTTCAGGGTGACTATAGTATCAGGTCAATGCTCTGCTCCGCTCCCATCTTTGACGAGGTCCGGGTATTCATGTATACTGACCATCAGCTTTCTTGCCGCTCGGCGCCAGACCTTCGCCGACATTCCCAGTCTCCTTCAAATCCAGGTGCCATGCCTTCTCATGTCCCTGAGCGTTCTTCAAGTTGAATGCGAAAATGGCGTTTCCCTGCTTGACAGCGTCCTTCTTGTCTTTCTCGCTGGAGAGAGCGGCGGCAATCGTGTCAAATGCCTCGGAGGAGGGAAATGCATCTGCGCGCATCGTCAGAAAAGCTGTATCATCGGCCTTGCCTGCTCTCCCGCAAGAACTGTATGCTGCTCACCGTCTTTGAGACCCATCTTGTTTGTACGGCTAGATATGTGGTGGTGATGAAATAGAGCTGAAAGCGAGACGTTTGTCGTGACAATGAACTTCGTTAATGGAACGGATACCCAGACCGTGCAGACGATGAGGCGCTGATGCTTATATTTGACCTCGAGGCGGTTCAGTTCAGCCCAGGAGTGCTCCCGCGAATGACTTCGTTACGTCTATCTCAGAGATACCGCGGCACGATCGCAAACCTTGTCAAGCCCCGGATCTGCATGTGAGAGCGGGCGGTTCACGTCAGTCATGATCAGTGGGCCACGCGATCTCTGTCTTTCACCTCCTTGCGCTCGGGCTGTGTTTCTTTCACTTCCAGCTGGCCTCCTGCGAGAGCGTGGCGATGATCTCGAATTCCCATGGTTAGGTACGTATACGCAAGAAATTTTCGCAGCATTTGAGTCAGCAACAGCGTGTGTTCAGTGCAGCAGAGCTCCGCAATCGGCGCAAGGCCTTCATAATTAAAACCACGCCTGCATCTCTATTCACTGCACAGGCCTATAGATCTACGTAGGTGTCGGTGGAAACTCAAGAGGAAACACGAATATTCTTATATTACCAGAAGTACGGAAGGACGGGAGCTTCAGCACTGCTGCACTCAGCATCACATTGAATCACGAAGCAATGGCCGCAGCAGACATGACCTACAGCACCGAAAAGCCGACAGGCATTTCAGGCGCCACTCGATTACGAGAAATGCTATCCGATCCCACAAAGACTGTTGTCGCACCTGGAGTTTACGATGGCATTACTGCCCGCCTAGCTCTCTCCGCAGGTTTTGATTGTCTCTACATGACTGGAGCAGGAACATCCATGTCTCGCCTCGGAATGGCAGACTTGGGGCTGGCAACCTTCAATGACATGCACCAAAACGCTGCCATGATCGCCTCCATAGATCCCGCAGTTCCTGTCATCGCCGACGCAGACACAGGGTATGGAGGTCCGATCAATATCGCAAGAACTGTCCAGAGCTATGCGAGGGCTGGCGTTGCTGGCCTTCATATAGAAGACCAGGTCCAAGAAAAGCGATGTGGGCATTTGAGTGGAAAGCTGTTAGTGGATCGTAATGTATACTACAATCGATTGAGAGCAGCGTGCAAGGCGAGAGATGACAGTCGAGATGATATTCTCATCATTGCTAGGACTGATGCCAGAGCTGGTAAAGATACCAAGGGAAATGGGGGCTTCGAAGAGGCCATTGCGCGTTTGACTGAGGCGGCGAGTATTGGTGTGGATGCACTCTTTTTTGAGGCAATTCAGGATGTGGAAGAAGCGCAGCAGGTTATCAAACTCCTGCCCAAGATTCCGGTTCTCCTCAATATGGTACAAGGAGGCAAGACACCGCAGATCAGCACCGACGAGGCGAACAGGCTAGGGTTCAGGATTGTGATCTGGCCATGTTTGGGCATGGAAGCTGTGATACCTGCCTTCAAAAAGTCATTGCAGTCATTGAAAGAGACTGGTCAGGCGCCTGCCAAGGAGAATATGGGACCAAGCGCGTTATTCGAGGTATGCGGGCTGCGTGATCTGATGGCCTTTGATGAGAGTGTTGGTGGCAACGCGTATGCTCGATGAGGTGATGGCGGCGGCGTTTTAAGACTGACATTATAACTATTGTTACAGCGAGCTATCGTCTTCATGCCTCCTGATCATAGTGCACAACCTGAACTGCAGTATCAACCCTTCGTCCGCGTCTCATGACAGTAGACGTCAATGATCTTCGCATGAGGACGCTCATTGCTCCCCAATTCTGATGAAGCAATTGTTGTCGGCACCAGCGCTTTCATGCAACACGGGCATGCACTTCAGAATACCTGGCAAGGGTCGAAGGAGGGTAGCCAGGAAGATAGTTGCCACAGTCCTTAATATGGAAGCTGTTCGACTCTGTCTGAGAGCAGTATGCCGCCAAGGTGCGGAAAAATGATGGTACACGCGAATGCTCCACTCGTGCCCAAACCCAAGTACTCCTCTAATGCAGTCGCCGATTAAGCGATGATGATGCAGATTCCTTCGCCTGCAAGTCGACAATTCGCGCCACGCTAATGCTGCGATATGGGCAGCAGACAGTAATAGTACCACGCATTGTTGAGCGTTCAACTCCTGGCTTTGCCCTTTTTCGATTTCGAGGGCGCCGTTGAAGTGATTTTAGACGTCTGCATGAGCTCGCCGATATATCTGGGTTCAGGTGGTGAGCATATATTGTGAACATGGGCTGGGCGTGGTACACTCACGATTGCAGAAACTTGTTCCCGCCCTCGAGCTTCTCGTGCTCGCTCTTCACCGTCTCCACTCGATCCACGATGGCCTGCAAGCTCATCTGGAGTAGTTTGGCCTGCTCAATGAGGTCTTTGCGGGCCTCCTCGCTAAGTTTATCGACCTCTTCGCTATTCCTTCGCGGCGACATCGTTCGCACATCGTTCTCGTCGAAGTCGGGCTCCACGACGACTGTAGTGGCCGACTCACGCGACACAATCATCGTACCGCTACTCTTCCTACTGCCAATCTTTGGCCGGCCAATCCGTGCAGTTGTGGCGTCGTCTTCGCTCACCGCAGCACTCGACTCTGGTGAGGAGGAGATGGGTGAGGGCATGTCGTGTGCATGTAGTGTCGGCTCCCCGATTGAGGGCACGGTATAGGCGTCTGAGGTCATGGTCCGAGTCTGGAGGTTGCTGACCAGCGCTGGATGTGCAGGCTCAAGAGTACAGCGGCATGTGGTTTGATCGACTACCCAAATGGCGAGTATCGGTCAGAGGGTGCGCGTCGGGGGAGTGCGGTGAGCAGACAATCGGACGGCGGCACGAAATGCAGCGCGGAGGCAGGGTCCCAAGACGGCTACCGTAGTACCGTGCCGTACCCTCGTTCAGAGCAGTTTAGCGCAACGCAACGTGCAGAGGGTCGCGATGATGGGGGGGGGGGAGGGCGAGGGGAGGGGATATGTGCAGTGATGGGGGAGGCGATGGAATGGGATGATGAGTGGGAGATGGTGGGTGGCAGGTGGGAGGTGGGTTGTAGATGGACGATGGATGTGCCGCTAAGACGTTGCACCGAATCCAACGAATCCAACGCGCTTGAGGTGAGGTGATGCCAGGGAGACAGGCAGAGGGAGAGAATGAGAGTGGAGGAGGGAGGGACAGCGGGCAGGGCAAGGCAGGGCAGGGCAAGGTCCGTCGTTGCATCAGGTAGACCGTAGAACTGCTAGGGGTCTCAGGCTTGCAGCGCAGCAATGACATCGTCTGCAGGCATTCATGCGTTTGTGGCGCATACAAGCTTCTGCCTTGGCCGCTTTCGGGTGGGTCGGGAGAAGAGCACGACACGAAATTCACGAAAACACCCACAGCACCCCCCTCGGACGACCTGCCGCCGAAATAACGTCGGTGTCGTCCACACACACCGCAATCTCAGCATCACCCTGCCGGCACCTCTCACTCACCTCACCTCATCCACCCACCCACCTACCACCCACCACCCACCACCCACTTACCTCCCTCCCTACCCACCCGGTCTGGTTGCGTGATGCCCGCCTGCCGCTCACAGCACACACCAGACGTGGAGGACCGGGCGGCTGTGATATTACATCATCAACCCTCTCATCCGTCTGCCAGGGCGACCGACAGAGGGCATGATTCTTGGTGCGAGTCACGAGGGCGGTAGCTAAAACAGCGCAGACAAGTCCTCCAGGGCTCCAGGCGTCCGCTGCGCCGACGTCACTGTCCAGGATGAGTGTAGGGAAACGGGCGAGGATCATCATCAGGACTCATGGCATTCGCAGGGGCCCATGGCTTCGACGATTTGGGCTGACGCTGTCGTAGCGACTGCCGACGCTGCCCGTTGCCCGCTGCCCGCTGCTCCTGCGACCGCCAGCGACACCGCGCTGCGAAGTCCGTTGCGTCCACGCAGTGGAAAGAACGACAGTGATTGACCCGCCAGCACTTCAGCTCGAAGAAATGAAAAGTGTGGCACCAGAATCGATACCCACGCGCCGCCAGCGATAACACTGTGAGCCAAGGCGAGGATGGAACAGTGCCCTGCATTTGCAGGGGTCTGGAGACTGCACAGTGCTGGCTGCAGCGGTACGTCCGGGGTGTACGATCGTCGCATAATTCTTTCCGAAGGCAATCAGAAGCCGCGGGACGGCGCAAGTCAAGCCATCGAAAAAACGCCTCTGGGCTGCCACATGTCTGGCAGATGGCAGATCTGAAACCCTCCCCGGATGTCACATACACCACAGCTCTTTATTGAACAGCGGTAATTTTTTTTTTCTTCACAGCGACTCCTTGCAATATGACTACCATCGATGACACGAACAGAATGTAGCCCTCCGCGACTCGCCCACGTGATTCAAGAGATCAACAGAGGCGTGTCCGGAGTCCCTAGACCGTCGGAGAATGAGACAGGCATTGGCCCCGTTGGACTCGGCATTCAGCAACGTCGAAAGATGCGCTAAGCAGTTGTCATTCGGCTCACGCATCATGATGACCACTTGACCAGATCAACGACCGCATGGGTACTTGATGAAGCCAGCAACGAGATCAGCATCATCAGCCAACGAATGCTGGAAACAGAGCCAAGAATATTTCTGCGTCCATTCCAAGGGCAAGGCGGCGATATGGCGCGCTTTCCAGCTTTGTATGGCATGTATAAGAACTTGGCGCTGGTGTGTTCTGCACTTGGAGCATCGTATAATCGTATTCATTTGGTCGTTTTGTTGAGGGGTAAGACTATTTTGGGGCCTATCACGCAACTTTGCGAGTACAGGTCAGGTATGTACCTAGCGACAAAGAATCAGCTCCTGCTGAGAGAGGTTGGTATGACACTTATGCAGCCGGTTTCACTGCTGTCCACAAGAGGTAAAGTGAAGTGAAGATCATTCATCATGGTATAGTCATTTGACAAATATCAACTTCCAGAGCAAGTCCCGCATGATCAAAGCTACCTACCTACCTTCTAGCTACTAGGCTACATTAAGCCAGCGCACCCATGGGATCCCACAAGGGCAACACCTTTGCTTCCTGCTTCAACACATCTCTCACACTCTTGGCCAACACACTCGGATCAACCACGGCCTGGTACACAAACTGATCGAGCCACTTATCAGACATGACAAAGTATCCATTTGTCCCTGCAGTCTCCGACCAGCTATTCTCCACACGCCACCGAATAGGCTTGTTGTCTTCGTCCAAGTGCACAGCGGTCAACACCATGGCGTGAGTCATTGCACTTTCACCTGTGAGGAGCCGTTCAGCTTTGGTCAGACCCAGCTTGATATTGAATCCGAGCTCGTAGTCGACGAGATCTGTATCCATGATGCCCGCACGCGAATCCGATTGCTTGCCGACGTCGGAACCGAAGAAGATGGGAAGTCCTTTCTGTAACATTGCCACGCACGCGTGCTTCAATACGCCGATTTCGACGTTGACGTAGGTGATGGGACGGCCGTCCCAGACGTTGCCGAGATGGTCGACGGTGAGCAGACGGTTGTACTCGTTTCGGGGATCATGGACGAGGGATATGAAGCGTTTCACGTGAGTGGTATTGGCAAATTCGGTAGGTGTGAGAGAGATGGACTTGAAGGTGTTGTTTGCGTCGTAGAATTCCCACGTGAACTTTTGATCCACGGCAGGAGGTGGTCCGAGGCAGAGAGTGAGGATGCGAACGACGTCTTGCATCATTTTCTCCTTGGCTTCGGCAATCTTCGTCGTTGATGCAGACGCGGAAACGAGAGCTCGCAGACGCAGGCCATCCTCTCGAAGTTTGGTAGTCAGTGTCCGGTCCATGACTGCACTGTTTTGCGCGTTCCAAGAGTCCGGGTACATTGTCTGTGGCACGATACCATACTTGTCGACCAAATTGACAATCATATCCTAGAGACGCAAGCATCATCATCAATCAGCAGGTAATAATCATGTAAATTTTTTGGATGAATCGCGAGGAAAAGAAAAAGAAAAAGAAAAAGAAAAGGAAAAAAAAAGAAAAGAAAAGAAAAGAAAAATCCGATAATGAAACGCCAAAGGTGCATAATACATACCCATTGTCCCCCATCCCCCACAGGACTCGCATTCAACGCACTCACCAACCTCCCATCCACATCCTCACCGTCAACAGTATCCAAAATAGACTCCAAAAAATAATTCGCCTTTTCCACTTTATCCCAAAAAAACAAATATGCCTGCGACAGTTCAAATCGCGGAATATTATATTTCTGCTGAATGGCCACACGAAAGACATTTGTGGCAGCAAAAATCCAACAACGTCCACTACTGCGCTGATTCGTCACGGGGGATCCCTCAAAAGGGATTTTGACGTTGAAATATTGCGTATCGCGGATCAGAGTTGCTGGTTTTTCGAGAATGGTTGCCGGGTTGTGCGAGGAGAGGGCGGAGAGGCCGAGGCGGTTTTTGGGGTCTTGGAGAATGTGGAGGACGTAGGCTTGTGTGTTGGAGGTGTCGATGTGGGAGATGTTGGAGGAGGGGGAGGGAAAGATGTGTCTTGTTGTTACTGTTGTTGTTGCGGAAGGCTTCTTGCTGCTGCTGCTGCTGTCTGCTTGATCATCATCATCATCATCATCCTCATTGATTCGGAAAGCGTCGAATTTCTCGTCCAAGCTCATGGAAGGATGAGAAGAAGGAGGAGCTTCGCGGGGCACGTTGCGGCGTGGATCTCGTTTGGAAATGGAGCGGGCTGGCACGACGGGTGTGGACGCTGCAGTGCCCATGGTTGAAAGTTCTGCGTCTAGCGTGTGATGGTGATGATGATGATAAATCGTGGTATGATACCTATGATATGACACGAGATGGCGAGAAGAAGAAGAGAGAGGCGAAAGAGAGAGAGAGAGAGAGAGAGAGAGAGAGAGAAGAAGAGAC